GATGGCTGGCAGTGTTTTGCATTGCCTATGTGATCGGATGGCTGGCAGGGTTTTGCATTGCCTATGTGATCCGATGGCTGACAGACTTCTATCCGATCAACGTTGCTTGCCACTTCCATGGATTATCTGGGAGCATGTCACGCTTCTCTCATGTTACCTGAGAGGTGATGAGTTTACAGCTCCGTTGTTGTTTAATTTTCTGAATGGACCATTAGCTATTCCATGTCAGCAGGTTGCAAGGCTATGCGATATTAGCTATTCCATGGGAGCATGTTGCAAGGCAAATGGCTATTAGCTATTCCATGGGAACAGGCTGCGAGGCTTAAAGCACCAGTACACTACATATCGGCCCGCGGGTGTCGGCAGAAAACCCACACCACTTCAGAGGCCGCCGTTTTTTTTTTTTTTTCAATGGCGGGCCTGCCCGTGCAGCGCCTCCGAGTTTTGCTTGTGGCGACAAAAACTTTCTGCAAGGCTGGGGCCGTGTACTAGTGGTTTAAGGGGTATTAGTTATTCCAATGGCACCAGGTTGGGAGGCCAGTAATAATGGCTGCGGGTTGCGAAGCTAATGGCTATGGGCTATTCGCTATATGGCAGTAGTTTTGTCTATATTCTTCAGTTGGCTATGGATTGGATCAAGTTGCCAATGGCTAAAGGCTAATGGCTATTGCACGGCTATTTGATGTGTTGTAGAAGTAGGCCATAATGGATATTAGCTATTTTACGGCAGTAGATTGCAAGGCTTATGCCCATAAGCTATTCCATGGGAGCAGGTGGCAAGGCTAGTAGTGGCCGCAGGTTGCATGGCTAGTAGTGCCTGCAGGTTTCAAGGCTATAATGTCTATTCACTAGATGACTATATGCTAGTAGTGACTGTAGTGGGCTATTCTTCAAATGGCTTCTGATGCGAGCATGTTGCGAATGCCCGACGGCTAATCGCTATTTGATGTGTGCTCCGGAGGGAGTAGGCTATATCCGCGGGAGCATTCTTGATGATCTCGACCGGATGACGCACAGCCAATTGCTGATCCACTGATGCACTGACAAACACAACTGATGCACTGTGGCGCATTTGGTGAACTGGTGGTCGGACCGTGGTCCGTTTTATTAGGGGTCTATTAGGGGTTTATTAGGGGTCTATTAGGGGTCTATTTCCTGGTGGTTGTCGTGTTTCTTTCCCGTCCGTCCAGGGAGAAGCGTTCTTCTTGGAGTACCGTATTAATTTGCGACAAGTCTTTGCGATAGAGGACCGGGGTTTAAAATGTGAACAGCACAATTCGTGTAAGTCAAGTGTCCGCTAGAAAGGTTTTCTGTGTGTTTTAAAATGTTATTATATGGACAGATGCATACTGTCGAACGGGGATCGGCCATCCAGATGTTTGTTTTGTTTTCCGTTTCTTAATTTGCGTGATCACGTGGAGGTGATTGCGGTCAGATTCATCCAGGTCCAGGCTTATGCACAGTTGACACTATTTGCGGTGATCCATTCTGAAGAATCATCGGAATGGCTAAATGGCATATTTACACTAGGGCTTTTTTAAACTTGTTTCTGGACGTGATGGCAGTCAGATACGTCCAAGTCCAGCCTCGAATGCTGTCAGATTCATTTAAAGCACCAGTACTTGTCCTAGCTATCAGCCGCGGAAAAAAAATAGAGTAGAAACGTTTCCAGTCGGATGAATTTGGACGCTCCTGTAGTGGCGTGTACGTGTCCATAAACAGTGCCTTGTATACAGGCACGGCTTTAGGAAGTACTGGTGTGAGTGCAGCGATTGAAAGGAGGGAGGGCAACCGCAGAGGTCTCGTTGAATCATCAGCGGAGTGTGCACATAGTGCCACATACCACATTCATGTGCACTAGGCTTTTACTGAGGGGGATTAGACACTTTTACTGAGTGTCAGCTTGATTAGGAAGGGGAGCAAACAGCTATAACCAGTGCAGATATATATATCTTGATCTGCTATAAGCCTATAACAAGTTTTCAAAGCTTCAGAAGTTGTTCTGTGCTTCGGTGTTTCCAGCAGATAGTTTTCAAGTTTTCAAAGCTTCAGACTGTTGCTTCACACCAGCAATTGTCTGTCTGTCCAGATAGTTTGCTTCACCAGATAGTTTGCTTCGACCTGACGATTCCTATAATATTTCTCTCAGGGGCTGTATCGTTTCTCTGTGTCTCTGTCTGTCTGTCTGTCTGTCTGTCTGTCGTTCGGTGGGATCGACGGTCGGTCGGTCAGTTCATCAGGCAGTCGGTTTGTCTGGCTGTCTCTCTGTCTGTCCGTCCGTCGGTTTCTCAGTCGGTCGCTTGGTCGGTCTTTCTGTCTGTTTATCTGTCTGTCTGTCAGTCTGTGCGTGTCTCTGTCTGTCTATGCCTCTTTTACTCCCCCCTCTCTCTCTGTTGCTCTCTCTCTCTCTCTCTCTCTCTCTCTCTCTCTCTCTCTCTCTCTCTCTCTCTCTCTCTCTCTCTCTCTCTCTCTCTCTCTCTCTC